TCTAGAAGGCAGGAATCCGGGTGGGGAGCTGAAAAACAGCTGACGCAACCCTAAAATTGGGTCATTCCCAACCTTTCATCATTACAAATAAGGTTACAATAAATATCCTTGGGGCTAAATCTTTACAAATATCCTTAACTGTTTTCTTGAGATAAATTCTTAAACAAATTACTGGCTCAAAGGAGATCAACATTTTTAAGGCCCTTGGTACATCCTGTCAAATGGTCTTATATAAAGGAAGTACTGATTTATAATTCTACTAGTATGCTAAATAAAAGGCCTGAAAAATGTCACTTAAATTTTTTTTTGCAAAATATTTGCAAATTTACTAGGGAAATTTTATTTTAGGTAATTCTAAAGTTCCTTTCTAACTCAAAGATTCTGTGAGTCCAAGCATCATCCTCCAGCATTAAAAAACAGAATCCCTAATATCTCTTTGCACTTCCTTAACAATTTTGGTAGCATCGTGAATGAAGTTTCAAAAAAAATATTAGCAAGATCTTCACACTATTCTCATGCTTATTCAAAGAATATAGTAACTTAAGGCCAGGTACGGTGGTTCAGTGTGTAATCCCAGCACTTTGGGAGCCCCAGGCAGTAGGATCAGTTGAGGCCAGGAGTTCAAGACCAGCCTGGGAATATATCAAGACCTCATCTTTACAAAATGTTAAAATATTAGCCAGGTGTGATGGCACATGTCTGTATCCCAGCTACTTAGGAAGCTGATGTAGGATGATTGTTTCAGTCAGGAGTTCTAGGCTCCAGTGCTATGATCACACCACTGCACTCTAGCCTGGGTGACAGAGTGAGACTCCATCTCTTAAAAAGGTTCAAAAAAAAAAAAAAAAAAAAAACAAAAAAAAAAAGGCTACAGTAGTTTAAAAGGAGATACTCACATACTTTTATCAAAGAACTGTAGGATTACATAAAATACATCAATATTAAACTGAACCATATGAAACTCTCATATTTGTAAGTCAAAACAGTCAAATATCAGCAATTTTGGCTCAACCTCATATAATACTTTAGCTTACCCCTAATAATTTGCAGATATTACCCACATGATGAAAGCAAGCACTTGGCCTGTTGATTTTTTACATACGGGCTGTGATATAGTCAGACAACAAGCATCTTAGCCCACCATCTCTATCCAAAATACTCAACATCCAGGTAGCCCTGGAGTATACTTTCTATTTATTTTGTGAGCCCTAGCAAATGGCTTCTTCTAAACAATTTCTACATAAGGCATGTCATTCCTACAAATGCCATAAATGCGCTAAAATGTAAACAGTTGGGACTGAGGTTGTTGTAGTACAAGTACTGAATATTCTTTGAGAACAGGTACTTTCCTTGCAATAACCCAGAGAGCACCATATGACGATCATTCCCATTTCACAGAAGAGAAACAGGCTCAGACGTCTGGCTACAGATACACAATTTAAAAACTATTAATGTAGGAAGCGTATGAGTGGGTTTTCATGCTCACATGTGAAATGAACCTCCCTCAAACCCGGTTATGCTATCAGCACATTACCTATCTGATGTGGAAAAGAAAAAGCACCATGAATATAGGTGTCAACCCAGACGTTGACCACAGAGTCCTGGTATAATCATCTCGTTTCCCAATATTACATGATAATAATAACTATTGTTATTATTTATAACTAGCATCAATTTAGTCCTTTTACTTTATACTAGATCCTATGAAATACTCATAAAAACCCTAATAAGCATTACAATTGTTATTATACACATTTTGCAAATGAGAAAACTAAAACACAGAGGGGTTAAGAAACTTGCCCAAAACCACACAGCAAGGAAACGGCAGAACTGGGATTCCAATACAGACTCCAGTAATCCCAGTTACTCAGAAGGCTTAAGCAGGAGGATCTCTTAAGCCCAGGAGCTCAAGGCTGCAGTGAGCTATGATCATGCCACTGCACTCCAGCCTGGGTGACAGAATGAGAACTTCTATCTTATAAATAAATAAATAAAATAAAAGGAAAGGAAAAAACACAAATGCCGACTCTCTAGAGCTTACAATCACTGTAACTATACAACATGTATTCAACTAAAAGCTAAAAGAAAAATAACCCTCACAAAAACAATGCTTAAATATATGTGCTGTCTCATGCTTACCTTTTTAAAACAATTTTTCTAATTCTTAGGTCATCTTTATATTTTTCTATGTTTATTTGTTTTGGCAAAAACTTACAAGGAATTTTGTGGCAATATGAATCTTAAAACCTTAAAAGCATATAATAGTTAAAAAAAAAAATCTGCAAAACAGTAGAGTAATATGAGCCATTTCCTAGAATAAAGATGAAGAGTCAGGAAACAGAAACAGCATTAGAAAGTCCTTTTTACTCATTCCAGTTTTAAAGAGTATAGAAATAGTTGAGAAAGTAGAACATTCATGCAACCTTAATACCAAACTAATCAGATCTGCAACCAAATATTTCAGTTCTGCCCTTTGATCCCACATACACCAAAGTAAAGATGATGATTTGTTTAAAAGCTTTAAGTGTTCCTACCTATGAGAGTACACATTTAAATAAGAGAAAGAAAAAGGGGTCAAAGAGAAATTTTTAACAGAGGAAGGAAAGAAGATAGGTTGGGAAAAAAAAAAAAAAAAGACCAATCTCCTCTCAGAGCATGGTCCATCCACATTAGAGAAAGGATTAAGCAGATACATTCAGCTTTTCTAACAGATTTTCTTTCTCTAAGGCTTCAATACCCCTCTCACACTCACTCAGATAATCACATTAGTTTTGTCATTAAAAGCTCCCTTTTCATAGAATGCACCTAAACCGCTTAAACCACCCAGAGAGGTCGCATACATTACCAAACAGCAAGACAAACGGAAGAGATTTTTCCATCTTATGTCATTATTTCACTTATTTCATTATTTCACTCTATCTACATACACAGAAGCCTATGCTAAAATATTTGAGAAGTTATCAGCTGAAATATGATTCCAAAATTAACAAATTACTTCATCCTTTAAAACTGTCTTTAAGCTGAGAAGAGACCTAATAGTTTTCATGCTGACAGAACAGTCAAATGACAGAGGGGTTTTCTGTTTCCCTTTTCTCTTCTTCCTTGTGTTCTACCAGCCAAGTCCATGATTATTTCTGCATGAATGTTGCAGCTTCTGTTAACAGTAAACAAAAGCAAATGGAGTCCGAGCGTGCAAAGCCCAAAGACAAATTAAAAAGAACGATACTTGAATTGACACGGAAAATGGCATTTAGTCACTGCCCATGGATCCTTCAGAACTGTACAAGGTCCCAGACAGAATTGGAAATCACCTGCTTTTTTTCATAACCCAACTGTTACATATTATCTCACCATCCTAAGCCTGAGTTACAGACTCAGAAAAGGACCACTGTTAGTCAGCCCTTTAAAAAGGAGGAAGTGTATCAGAGGGAGGAGGAGTTCTGGTTAAATGGAACTATCCAAGTGAAAGAGCGGTCCCCAACTGGGTAGTGTTCCAGGGATTAGTGGGTTGGGAGAACAGAGAGGGGGTCAAAAAAGGAGAAATAGAATGAACAGTGAAAGAAAGTGATCTGAAGCTACAAGTTTCGAAGGAAGAAATAGTAGAAAAATTCTGAAAATCAAATGGGTAACTATAGGATGAAATTGGAAAACAGAGCAAATGGAATTTCTCAAAGCAAGAGGAAAGAGATAAGATTACTTTTGGTGGGGTGCAGGCTGGAAACAGAATCATAAATGTAAACAATCAAGAATTCTTCGGTTTGTCAAGAGAAAGGATAATGTCAGTAAGAAATAACTGAAGAGAAGTACAAGAATTAATCCTGGATAAAAGAAGTAAAAGGTGATTGTGAGGGAAAGACATAAAGATATCTTACCTTAAAAATAAACCTTTATAATGCATATATATAAAGGATAAAAGGATTGCATTAAATCAAAAATAGATGACAAAATATTTGAGGTATACTCTGCTGGTTTTGAGTAATTATTTAGAAGAGCATAGGATAAAATATTGATTTGCATGTAAGACTGAACAGCAAAATATCCCAAAATGTACATTAAAGAGGTAGGGAGAAAACCAGTTAGACTGCTCACTATTCCAAATTGTGGTACACCAACTAACATTAAACAGCTATATTTCTCCAGCCTTTTTCTAGATCAGTTGTCGGCAAAGTACAACCCCCCAAGCCAAATCCAGCCCACTGCCCATTTTCACAAATAAGGTATTATTGGAGACAGCCATCCTCATTTGTTTACATATTATCTATGGCTACTTTCATGCTACAGCTGCAGAGTTGAGTAATTGTGACAGAAACCATATGGCTTGCAAAGCCTAAAATATAGCCCTTTAAATGGAGAAAGTTTGTCAATCTCTGTTCTAAATAACAAGAGAATTCCCCATATGTTTTTAGCATCTGACAACGCATTCATTCTTCAAGTGAGAATAAAGATGCAAATATAATTCTCACCTTGTGCATAGACAGATACAGAGTTAAATCTGATAGATGTCACACTGTGAGCAATAGTCCACTCAACCCTCAGTCAAGTTTCCTCCTAATCCAGTGCAATGCAGTAGATATAGGCTCTGAACAATGAAGACCCAAGTTCAAATCCTACTTCTACCAATTCTTAGTTGAGCTTTAATTTCTTCTCCATAAATCTTGAATTATACCTTTTTCTACACAGTACTTTTATAAGAATTAAGTGAGACAGCATACATGAAAGTGCTTTGTAAATAGTAAAATAATATAGACAGATAAGGCATTATTAGCACACAGATGTTTATGGAAATGAACTGGTTTAGATTTATTTTTTCCTTATCATTTTGATCCAGGTTTTCTTCTCTTTTCCTTTCTTTTCTTTTTTTGAGGCAGGGTCTAGCTCTGTCGCCCAGGCTGGCGTACAGTGGCATAATCATGGCTCATTGCAGCCCCAAGTAATCATCCCACATCAGCCTCCCAAGTAGCTGGAACTACAGCCACACATCACTATGCTCTGCTAATTTTTTTAATTTTTAGTAGAGATGAGTTCTCACTATGTTGCTCAGGTGGGTCTCAAACTCCTAATCTCAAGCAATCATCCCACCTCAGACTCCGAAAGTGCTGGGATTACAGGCATGAGCCACCACACCAGGCCTATTGATTTAGGTTTTCTAACATGAAAGTGATCTGCTCTTTTTAACAACTTTGTCTTGTCAAAATTCAATCTAATTCAATACCTATTTACCTCCAGCCTGCTATATGCAAGACATTCATTAGTCATTCTACTTTTTAAATGAAGAAAAATAATAGCAAATGAACTTTTTTAGTTACAAATTTTTAAGCAAGGTATACATGTAATAATTCAAAGGGGTGGTTAAAGCCCATTTGAAACCCGGCTCTCATATCACCAATACCATTTTCACTTCCAACACTCATTCTAGCTGAAGAGTTGGTTATAGCCTCTAAATTTAACCATCAAGCTGGCCAACCTTTGTTCTTAAAACTAAAAGGAAAATTCTTTACAAAGAAATGCTTAAAATGAGCATACACAATAAAGAATTTTGACATGAAAAGAACCTTAAAATTTATATTGTAATGTGTTTTTATACTTTCCAAAGTGTTTCATATCCAACATTTTATTTGATTCTCAGTACAAAGAGAGGAAGACAGAGGATGGGGAAAGAAAAGCACCTGGCCCAAGATCACATAGTTGGTAGGTGAAGCAGCAGTTCTGGACCAAACTCTCACTTTCAGAATCTAATTTGATGTTGTTTCAACTCTACTGTGCTGCATGGGGTCACTCTTCACACTGAATATAGCACTTAGAATGCTTTCACAGCTGACTAGATCACAAAACTATGATAATGACTGCCATTTTTAAACACCAATCATGTATTACACAGACCCAGGTTACACATATATCACAAATATTATATCACATTCACACAAAGTGCACAGCCCAGGATTTGACACATAGTAATTATTCCATTAACTGCAACTTCTGGTATTATTTCTAATTCATACAACTCTATAATCAATAAATTTTACCTCCATTTTTCAAATGAGGAAACTGAGGCTCAAAAAAGCTAGGTAACATGTTCAAGCCCACATAACCAGAAAGTAGCAGAACGCAGGATTCTGGCTCAGGTTGGACTAACTCCAGAGCCCTTTTGTCACTGGGACTTTCTCTGATGCAGAAAGTCAGAGAATTCATGTTAAAAAAAAAATGAGAAGTGGGTTATTAAAAATGATGAGAGGACATTTTCCTATTACCTTGATGGGCCAAGCAGGCAAAGGCTGTAAAAAGTTAGATGCATAAGGATAGTCCACCATTGCCAGATTCACCCAGGTTTCAGAGATCCAGTCTTTCAAATGTTGGATGTCCTCAGAAGTTAATGGGCTGCATAAGTGAAAAGCTTCAGAAAGCCACTGCAAACCACTGCCTAGGAATAGAATCGCATTGTTGGAATCTAAAAAGTACTGGTCAACAGATGGCTTTACAGATCATTTATTATTCCCATGGTATTTTAGAAAACTCAATCTTTTACACCCCGTTTCCCAGAATATTTTTAGAGCAACTGGAGAATCCCATGATAGACAAGTTGCCTATCCTCATAGAGTTTATCAGAATTAGTATTCAGAATTATTCCCACTTTTTAAGATACCATTAAAATGAATAAATAGGAATACCATAGAACAACAAGAATACATAAACTAAAACTAAATAAAACAAATGGATGTATCTAACAAACAGTGCCAAGCAAATGACAGTAGACACAAAAAAGACATACTATGTAATTCCAATTACTAAAACATTTAAGAACAAGTAAAAATTAATCTATGGTTCTAGAAGTGAGGAGTTGGTTTTGCTGGGTAGGTATGGAGATAGTGACTGAAAAGGCATGAGGAGATTTCCGAGATGCTGACAATGTCCTTTATTGATTTAAATTCTAATTACATTATGTCCTTGCTTTGTGAAAATTCATCAATCTAGGCATTTTAATTTGTATACTTTTCTGAATGTACCTTATACTTTAATAAACTGTTAAAAAGTGACGACTACTGAATTTAACAAATAAAAGGTTAAAAAAGCACACAATTCCATTCTCTTAATTAGATCTTACCAGTACTTGATAATCGATTAATGGCATCCCAGGACCTGCGGATGCTCTCTGAACAATGTGGACCACTTTTCCTGAAATCTGTAGTTACAATCTTCATAAATACACCACAAGGTACTAAATCCTCAAACTGCCAGATAGGGGCCGAAGCTGCAAGAGCTCTAAACAGCAAGAAAATCAAAGAAGGAAAAAAGAAAAACATATATATATGTATATATGTCATCTAAATCAAGTTTTAAAGTGGAAACTTATAATAAACAAAAATGGTAAGAAAAATAACACAGCTGTTAATGAGACAGAAACTATAAATCTCAGTATAATATAATAGAACATGTTTTACCCAAAGTGAATCTCTAAGTTTGCCTTTGCCTTGATAATCATTAAGAAGCTCTCATGTCCAACATAAATGCACTTACCCAACTACCATATGAGGATATTTCATCCTAAACCAGGCTGCAAGCATGCCACCATAGGAGCCTCCTATGGCAATGACAGGTTGATTTTCAGCTCCTGGGATTGTTCTTTTCAAGTGTTTGATTAACTCTGCAAAATCAGCCAGAGCTTGTTCTGATGTCAGAAAATTCAAGTGTCTGGAATCCTAAAGAAAAATAACAAAGAACATGGGTATAAATGTGCACATAATAGCAGCTTAGGAATAGCATGGATCCAGAAGAGAGCCAGTGTCAGATAAGCTTTTCTCCAAATAGAATTTCTAGGCAATTGAGCTAAAACGCCTAGTCAAAGCAATAGCTGTGCGGATTTAAACAACTCATGAAAATGATTTTAAGTTTGTGGAAGAACATAATGTATTTTGCATGCAAGTGTAATTGCTATTAAATGCTATTTACCAAAGACTTTGTTAAGGTTGTAGAAACAATAGAAACAAATTATAAGTAAAATTTAATAGCAAATGTGATCGAATATAAACTAAGCTTAATAGATAACTGTTATAACTTTTGTTTCGAATCTTGGCACATTTAAAATGTCTACCACATAGGCAAACATAAACTCAATCTTGTGGACAATTGAGGTAAGAATCACCAGTAAAAATAAAACTCACCCTTCCTCATCAGAAAGATTATATGTGACCTCAGCCTTATCAACAACTGAAACAAAGTAGCCTGCCTATTGTAAACAACCATAAAATTGGAAAGGAAAAAAAAAACTATTTTCAGGTATTGGAAAACAGTTAACAAGAGACACTGATCTTTGAGAAAAGGAAAACTCATAATGTTAAGTTTCATAATTGTCCCGCTCTCTACATGAGGACAATTTACCTACTATAGTATAAGAAGGTGAAGCTCAGTGTCCAGCTGAGCTGAGGAGGCTACGGTCTTTTAAAATATGTCTGCAAATTCTTGACACTCCTTCCTTTAAATGTGAAGTCTAATTCCACTCCCTTTGAACTTGGATGGGACTTAGTGACTTGGTTCTAATGAATAGAAATAATGATATATGACTACCAAAGTTAGGTCATTAAAAAAACACTGCAGCTTCCACCTTGCTCTCTTGCACTGCCAACTTTGAGGGAAATTAGCTGCCTTGTAATGAACTTAAGCAGGTCCTTAACTGCAGCCTCTTGTCAACATCCAACATGTTTAGCTCTTGTGTGAGTGATCCTCCAGAGCAGAAAGGCTCTCCAGCCCCAGTTAAGCCTTCAGATGACTGCAACTCCAGCTGCCATCCTAACCTCATGAGACCCTCTGAAACAGAACCACCTCGCTAAACCACTCCTAATTTTTCGCCCATGTAAACTATAAAGTAATAGATGTTTATTACTGTTTTAAGCCATAAGGTCTGAGGTACATCTTTACATAGCAATAGATAGCTAATATGGCTACATACCTCTATTAGGCTACCCTGTTTGACTTTCATACTTTGGTCTGACCATTCTGACTCCTTCCATCATCTTGCATATTACTGAATCACATAGATCTCATCTTTCCTCTCTCCTATATATGCCACCTACTCCTTTAGCTTTCCCCCTCTCTTCCAAGATATATGCTTTCTAACTTCTTACCTCCTCTCTCCCTGTCTGTCACTGTCTTTTACTTCTGGTTTTTATGGCACTCTGTACAGTGAGTGCATTTTTTTCCTAATCCTTGCATAATATCTGTAACGTCCCTCAAGCTACTGACAGATTCTGTGAGCACACAAAGGGAAAGAAGTATATCAAAAAGAACCCCTGGCTTCATTTTGCTAACACAGTATCCACCACAGGAACCTAGGAGAGGAACTTATATTTCTATCTGCAACAAGCTGACTGCTTCCTAATGGTTTTAAGATCTGTCAAGTCCCTTAATCAGGTATTTATGCAAAATACAAAGCTAAAGAATAGAATTTCCCATATAGCCCAACAAATATCAGCAAACTGTCCCACTTTCTATTTACAACACAACACTTTTTACTTATTTTTACTCATGTATTTATTTGTAATTTGCGATAGTAAAACCTTCTTTTTAAAAATAAAAACTCCTTTCAAAACAGGGAGGCTAGTAAAGGACTGGCCCCAAGTCCTTCTAGCTGAGGGTTCCCCAAAGCATATGTATATACTGGTGGTCTTAGGAAGCACACAAACATTTTTAGTGGAACATTTATTGTTTCATTTTAGTGTAATTTGGAAAGAATTACCAATACATAGAGCCCTTGGTTAAGATAATGCTAAATTTAAAAGTGAGTTGATTAAAGAAAAATATTAACTAAATAATAGTACACGTGCCAAATTACTACAGCCAGAGTCACAAGGACAGTAGTACATGAATCACACAGTTGAAGAAAAAGTGTCCTGGTTTATTAGGTGCAGAGTCTGTGACAAAGGCCAAAGCTCCTGCGAGAACAGGAATGGCTGAAAGGGAATCTGAGGGGCCAGTGGGCCTTAATGCACCATACAGCTTATTTGTCCTTATTTTAATGATTTTATTTTATTTAAAACACCATATAAATTTGTTATGCTCATTAGATTTTTTTCCAGTGGAAGGCTCAATAATTTAAGTGTACAATTTATAAAGCGGAATTGTTTACTGATAGTTTTGAAATAATAAAAAGTTCCCTGTATTGCCTCTGCAGCCACAGAGTAAGATTTAACTGCCTGAGGCACATTGAGTTAAAAACTGATTAACATTAAGAATTATAATAAAATGGCTAAGGAAACCTTCAATCTGTTCAAATTATATCTAAAAGGCAATGATTAAATATAAACTATTGAGCTTTTAGGCATTTCAAATTAAAATTATCTCACAGTGGGGCATGTAATTTAGAAACTATTCTAAACTGAAAAGAAAAAACTTGTAACTTAAAAGTAAAAAGTATATTTACCTTGAATGAGCTGTCACCAAAGGGGAGAGACTCTCCATAGTATCGATGTTCAGCAAACACCAACATAGCTTTCAGTTCCTCAGCCACGTCCCACATGAACCCCTAAGAAGAGTTTACAAATTCACAGGATAAAATCAGAAGGTGAACATTTTAGCAAACCATATGAAATAGACGTTAAGCCAGACTAAAAAGAGCACTCTGAAAAGTTGCACAATTTATATTTGTTCTACAAATAAATGATACAATTGCTGTCTTATTGTTGCCTATCAATCTCACACTTTATGAGTGAAACAATTAAAAATAATCCCAGGCTGCTCATCCACTAGTCATCCACATCTTTTTAACCTGACACTCTAGCCCTAGAATCGACATTATGTCTAAAATGGTCTTTAAGTACAAAGAGCCAGTACAAATCCTACTGAAATTACTTTTAAAAATCAAGGAGGAGGCTGGGTGCAGTGGCTCTTGCCTGTAATCCTAGCACTTTGGGAGGCCGAGGCAGGCAGATCACGAGGTCAGGAGTTCAAGACCAGCAGGCAGATCACGAAGTCAGGAGTTCATGGCCAGCATGCTGAAATCCTGTCTCCACTAAAAATACAAAAATCAGCCAGGTATGGTAGCATGTGCCTGTCATCCCAGCTACTCGGGAGGCTGAGGCAAGAGAATTGCTTGAACCAAAAAGGCAGAGGTTACAGTGAACTCAGATCGTACCACTGCACTCCAGCCTGGGCAACAGAGCAAGACTCCATCTCAAAAAAAAAAAAATCAAGGAGGAGGGACTTTTCCCTAACTTATTCTATAAAGCTAGCATCATTATGATACAAAACCTGGCAGGGACACAATGAAAAAAAAGAAAACTTCAGGCCAATATCTCTGATGAAAATAGATGCAAAAAGCCTCAACAAAAAACTAGCAAACCAATCCAGCAGCATCAAGAAGTTAATTTACCAGAATCATACAGGCTTTATTCCTGGATGCAAGGTTGGCTCAACATACACAAATCCATACACAAAATGGAATTCACCACATAAACAGAATTTAAAAATAAAAACCACATGATCTTCTCAACAGATGCAGAAAGGGCCTTCAATGAAATTCAAAATCCCTTCATGGTAAAAATTCTCAATAAGCTAGGTATTGAAGGAACATACCACAACATAATAAGAGACATCTATGACAAACCCATAGCCAACATCACACTGAATGGGTGAAAGCTGAAAGCATTTCTCTTGAGAACTAAGACAAGTAAGGATGCTCTGTCTCAGCACTCCCATTCAACATAGCACTGGAAGTTGGAGCCAGTGCAATCAGGCAAGAGAAAAAAAATAAAAGGCATCCAAATAGGAAGAGAGGAAGTCAAACTATCTCTTTTTGCAGATAATATATAGGCTATACCTAGAAAACCCCACAGACTCCATCAAAAGGCCTCCAGCACTAACAAAACAACTTCAGTAAAGTTTCAGGATCAAATTCAACATACAAAAATCAGTAGCATGTCTATACACCAGTAACAATCAAGCTAACAGCCATATCAAAAACACAATCCCATTTACAATAGCCACAAAAAGAATGAAATACCCAGGGATACAGCTAACCAAGGAAGTGAAACATCTCTACAATGAGAATTACAAACCACTACTGAAAGGCATCAGAGACAACTCAAACAAATGAAAAGACATTCCATGTTCATACATACGAAGAATCAATATTATTAAAATGGCCACAGTGCCCAAAACAATTCACAGATTCAATACTACTCCTATCAAACTACTGACATCATTTTTCACAGGGTTAGAAAAAAAACACTTTTGTAATTCATATAAAACAACAACAACAAAAATAAAACCTGAATCATCAAAGCAATCCCAAGCAAGAAAAACAAAGCCAGTGGCATCACACTACCCAATTTCAAACTATACTGCAAGGCTACAATTACCAAAACATCGGATAATGGTACAAAAATAGGCATGCAGACCAATGTGACAGGATAGAGAATCCAGAAATAAAGCCACACACCTACAACCACCTGATCTTAAATAAAGTCAACAATAACAAGCAATAAGAAAACGACTCCCTACCCTATTCAATAAATTGTGCTGGGATAACTGGCTAGCCATATGCAGAAGACTGAAATTGGACCCCTTCCTTTCACCATATACAAACATCAACTCAAGATGGACAAAAGACTTAAATGTAAAACTGAAAACTATAAAAAGCCCTAGAAAGAAAACTACAAAATACCATTCTGGAAATCAGCTTTGGCAAAGAATTTATGGCTAAGTTCTAAAAAGCAATTGCAACAAAAACAAAAACTGACAAGTGGGACCTAAACTAAAGAACTTCTGTATAGCAAAAGAAACTGTCAACAGGGTAAACAAAAACCTACAGAATGAGAGAAAATATCTGCAAACTATGCATCTGGCAAAAGTCTAATATCCAGAATCTGTAAGGAACTTAAACAAATTTACAAGAAAAAAACAAACAACCCCATCAAAGAGTGGGCAAAAGACATGGACAGACACTTTTCAAAAGAAGGCATGCACAAGCCCAACAAACATGAAAAAATGCTCAACATCATTAATAACCAGAGAAATGCAAATCAAAACCACAATAAGATATCATCTCATATCAGTCAGAATGGCTATTACTAAAAAGTTAAAAAATAACAGATGTTGCTAAGGTTGTGGAGAAAAAGGAATGCTTATAAACTATTAGTGGGATACTAAATTAGTTCAGCCACTATGGAAAGAAGTTTGGAGATTTCCCAAAGAACTTAAAATAGAACTATCACTCAATCCACCAATCCTCACTACTGGGTATATGCCTAAAAAAAATAGGCTAGGTGTGGTGGCTCCTGCCTGTAATCCCAGCACTTTGGGAGGCCAAGACAGATGGATCACTTTAGTCCAGGAGTTCAAGACTAGCCTTGGTAACATAGTGAAACCCTATCTCTACAAAAAATAAAATTAAAAAGTAAATTAAAATTTAAAATAAAAATAAACCATTCTACCAAAAAGACACATGCCCTTGTATGTTCATCTTAGTACTGTTTGCAATACCAAAGACAATGAATAAATCTAAATACCATTCAACAGAGGACTGGTTAAAGAAAATGTGGTCTATACATACCATGGAATACTAAATAGCCATTAAAAAGAACAAAATCATATCCTTTGCAGTAACATGGATGTAGCTGGAGGCCATTATCCTAAGTGACACAGTAGAGCAACAGAAAACCAAACACTGCATGTTCTCACTCATAAGCAGGAGCTAAACACTGAATTTACCTGGACACAAATATGGGAACAACAGACACTGAGTGACTACTAGAGGAGCTGAGGACTAACAGAGCAGGGAGTATGAGTGTAGGGCATGAGTTCAACAATTGCCTATCAGGTACTATGCTTATTATCTAGGTGATGGGATCATTCATACACCAAATCTCAGCAACATACAATTTACCCAAGTTAACAAACCTGCATGTGTACCCCCGAACCTAAAATAAAAGTCAAGGGAAAAAAAAAAAACATACATACAATGGAGAGAAAACAAATTAAAAATAAAACATAATTTTAACTTTTAAAAACATGGTCTTCAAATTGCACTGTTTGCCAAATCTTCCAGGAAAGAGCTAAAGGTATCTAAAGAAGCTGTCTACTCATAGACACTGATAACATAAAAGAGAAAACAAACAGGCATACTAAACTCCCTGGGGGTTTTCAATTTATCTTATTTATTGGAAAATAAATAATAGCTCACAAAGGCTAATATTAACTGAGTGTTTATAATGTGTCAGGCACTGTTCTAAGCATTATATATGTATTAACTCAATTATCACAGCAATCTATGAAATAAGCACTTTGATTACCCCCATTTTATAGACAAGAACACTGAGGTACAAATAACCTTCAACATTCACACAGCTAGTAAGCAGTAGAGCCAAGATTCAAACATAGGCATCTAGCTCCAGGGCACCAATATCAAGAGCTGTTAGATCTCCTTGCTACAACATCTATATCTGGTCATTAGCCAATCACTTCAATTTTTTCACTTATTCTGTTGTGGCCTCAGAATCTTTTCTCAACAAAGCATTCTAGGCAGTCAACGTCAATTAAATTTAGATTTAGCACAGATTAAAACTGTCATTCCAGTGCACATTGTTGCTTTTTAGTGTGTTGCTGCTCCCTAACAAAGACTAAGAATCTCAAGTGTTTTTGTTGTTTTCATCAATGAATGAACAATTAGAAGAGTTGTACGCATGTAAGGAGAGAGAATATAACCATTTATTTGTGATGGTTTCAATAACTCCACTTTCTTAAGGACCTACTCATTCGCTGCCATTTATCTACAGATCCTGCAAACATCCAGTTCAAGTACGCCCACCTCTGCCTGCCCCACTCTGGCAGTGCTGATCACTCCCGCTTCTCAACATCACTGTGCTAGGTATAGATCCTGGATACTGTGTTGCAAAATTTGCTTATATATATGTCACACACACCAGACCCTGAGTATCTTAAGAGTAAAGATCATGCATTAAAATGTCCAGACCTCTGTGCAGTTGACTTCAGGCTTTGAGAGGAGGCAATTTCATTGAGCTAGTTCCCAATGTAATAAGTGACCTATTTTAGGAGTATTCTTATTTTGCAAAAGAGGTCTGTATAATATATTAACATCTTTTAACATTATGGGTTTGCAAGTCCCTTAATCTTCTTTAAGTCCCGACACAACTCTATGAACTAGCTATTATTGCTGTATTCATTTAGCAGATGAGAAGACTGAGGCACAGAACAAGAAACTAACCCAAAGTCACACAACAAAGTGACAACATCAGCCTTCAAACCTTGTCAATCTAGCTGAAGCCTTCACTCTTGACCACTGTACGATGCTGCCTCTCGGTAAATTAATGTCCAGAAGTGAATGTGCATTGGAACATTTTAGTATGTAAAGGGAGGTCTCTGGGGCTGGGGATGGGCCAGGATCTGCCCTTCTAGGATCTGCCTCTAGTAGTTCTTTGGAACTGTTCCTACTCTGAGTATCTCTTCCTTTCCACTACTTTTGAGAATGGAGATTCCCCAGCAAGCCTTAAGTTCTACCACAGTGCCTGTCAGAGTAGTGCCTACTGGAGGCAGGAACAGATCCCTGCCTATAATAAAAGAGAATGGGAACTGCAAAAATCACTGGACAGAAGTTGCCCTGTGGCCTTCACATAAAAGGAAGTCACACAAAAAGGAGAAAATAAACAAGGCAGACTCTGTTGTTTCACAGAATAACAGAACAGGAATCTGATTGTAAGGAGGTCCTGATTTCATTCATCACTGACCTAAAAGCAATAGGCCTCCTAGGATCTTATTTCTCAGGGAAGTATTTTATTTCAACTAACTTACTTAGATTCTTAACATTCCTAATGAGAAATGAGAAATACAATAACAATGTAATTGGATTCATATCTTTACTTTCAATTCATATACCAGCTCAACAAACATTTACTGAGACATCCGGACTACCAGGCACCATGCCATAGACATCGGCATTGGAGATAATACAGAATTCATTCCCCACTTTAAGGTAGTTTCACAACTAGCTTTTTGGTAGAAAGTTGGCATTTTCTAGTGTCTGCAGTGACACAATTGAAAAGGAGCATTTCTTCCTTTCACATGTCTTTCTAAATTAAGTTTTGTTAATGGATTTCAGCATTATAAAAAGTGATAGAAAATATAGTCAGGGAAGCAAGCTAACAGGCTATATACTATTCCTAACCCTCACAAATAAAAGAAAAATGGTTGAACAGGAAAGCTAAACTAAAATGTATCTACAATTTAACCTTTTCCAATTCTTATTTATATATCTTTTCTCATTTGCATTGTTTAGATTTTATTCATTCATTCATTCAATAGGTGTTTATTTATCACCTTCTATATGCCTAATACAGTCCTGGACACTGACAATATAACACTAAATAAACACAGAAATTCCTGCCCTTGTTTTTATCTTCTAGAGATCATAATCAAAATAAACTATACATAGTAACATTTTATGCCTGTTTCCCCTATAACCTTGTTCACTTTAAAAATAAGCTGAGATTTTAAAAACAAAACAAAGGAAAACAAAAAATTTGCAAAATTCAGTTCTCTGAGATGTTCAGGCAGTCCATGAAAAATAGAATAAAATAATTCTATTATCCAAAAATAGTACATTATTCTTTTCATTTGTAATTCTTTAAGGCTGAATATGCGGACTTATTAGATATCTGTACTTAATTCTTTTATGAACTTCCTATTCATATACTTTTGCTATTTTTTCTATTATTAGTGAGTTAATTTTTTTGTTATTTTTTACAGAACTTTACAATTAACAACAGTAATGCTTGGTTATATATACTGCAAAACATTTCTTCCAGGTTATCATAATAAAAGGCAAATTGAGCACTGGAATTTCACAGATATGCACATACCGTGTTATTACAAAACCAGATAATGTCCCCTTCATTACCAGTGTAGAAAAGTATCGATCCACCGTTTTCCTTCCAGTATTTATCAGCTACTAGGTACCGCTGATTAAAAGTTTTCACAGTATTAAATCCAAAATGATCAACCTGTGATAAAAACAAAACAAACAAAACATATTTCAAAGGAAAGTAATTAAATGAGATCAACATAAAATTAATTCTTCTATTAAAATCAACCTATACTACAAAAATAATCACAAGAAATTTTAAACTTCATTGTTTTATTATTAATAGTAATAATGATATTATTATTTTGAAATCATTTTCTTTATATTATAAAATAAAGCAATGTTTGCTATTATGGTCAAGATTTTTAATGTAAAAGAAAAAATACAATTATAAAATCAAGTAGCTACTTAAAAACATAATATTAAAATTAAATTGCTGATACAGTATGAACCCATTTTTTTAGTTTTTAAATGTATTTTTTAATTGGTAAATAAAATTTTACAAATGATGTATATAATATGATGCTCTGAAATATGTATACAATGTAGAATGACTAAATTGAGCTAATTAACATAAGCATTGCCTCACATATTTATATTTTTTGTGGTAAGACCACTTAAATCTACTCCCAGAGCAATTTTTAAGTATATAATACATCTCATTATTTTTCAGAATACAAATATCCCTTACTATCTGAGTTTTCATTAAACTAACTTCCAATATTGAAAACTCATGAATTAAATAGACTACTGAAAAGGTTTACTACCATAAACCTTGTCACCCCAGCACATCATAGACATTCTAAGTTCCAAGATTTTTATGTCTGTACCATTTCCACCAAAAGAAACTAGGGCTTATTAGTGAAGTGACTAATTGACATTTGGGACAAGGAAGCTGCAAGATAAGCCTATGTATCTTGCTATGCAAGGAAGCAAGAAAGTGCTCAAAATTAATGGAGGGTTGTATTTAATGAACATAGGCACCAGCTACAAGGGACTACCACTGGCAATCATTTTAACAAATTGAACATAAAACAAAAACAGATTAAACATAAAAAGAATAATGACTGTAGTTATTTGAAATATGCAATTCATGAAACTCCATTAGTTCACAAAAATATTTTTAAAAAGGAAAGAAAGGAAAAGGTTCATTTGTCATCATTTAAGTTGTCTATTAAATCAACTCCTTACTTTGAAATTGGGAATTAAAAAGTTAACAATTCAACATTTAATTCAACAGAATTGTATTTGATGGCACTGAATAGGCCCAGTTAATAAAGAAGAGCTGTGTTTAGTCAAATGTCAGCTAATGTAGAAGGAATGACAGAATTAGAATAATGACAGTTCTGTGAAGTTACCGATTCAGGCAAGAATTATCAATTGGTGCTAAAAAGCATTAGGAAAATGGATAATATGAAAATTAACATTCATCTAGTATCAAAGTAATACCATAGAGAATACTCTCTTGTCACAAGGGGAAAACATAACTACAATGGAAGGATCCAGCTGTCATCACTTTAGTAATCAATTTTGTTAGTATCATGAATGGTAAAGCAGGCAGGGATTATGTATCTCCTCATGTGGCAAAACATGAAGCACATATCCCCTATGATGTATTCCTGCCAAAAATGTTCCGTTTTATTTTAATCCAGCCTTTAGATCTAATTTGCAGGTTCCAGGAAATATAAAGGTAAAAGAGCAGGTTGAAGATACTTTAAAGGGACAACAGATAAATCTGAAGGTAGAACATTTTACAAGGCAATATCATGAGAAAGGACTACTTTAGATTAAATGAATTTTAAGGAACATAATAACCAGACATAATACATGACCCTATATTGGATCCTAGTTTGAACAAACAAGATATAAATGATGATGTAGGAACAAATGTGTAATTTTAATATGGGCTGAGTATTAAATGATACAAGTTGAGCATCCCTAATCCAAAAATCCAAAATTCAAATTCTCCAAATCTGAAACTTTTGAGCACCAACATGGTACTCAAGGGAAATGCTCATTAGAGCATTTTGAATTTTGGATTTTCAGATTAGGGATATTCAATCAGTAACTATAATGTGACTATTACAAAATAAAAAAAAAAAAATCCAAAATCTGAAATGCTTCTGGTCCCAAGCATTTCAGAGAGGGAATACTCAACTTGTACTAAAGACTTGTTCATTTTGTTAAAAATGATCATATTGTTTTGGCTACATAAGAAAATGATTTCTTAAACTGAACTTTAAATATATTTTTGAGATTTTACCTTTTGAGTTTTTTAAATTTACTATTTAAAATATACTTATCAAATACTATAACATGGTAAGATTCATATACGACTATCTGAATTTACAGCTATCCCACAGTACGGAGTCTCCCTGAGTCTTTTGCATCATGGGGGCTGAATACCTCAGTGCTTTTGAAGGACATAAGTGAGAATACAGCACTCAGTCTGGATCAGACCTAGGCTGTTTCAGTGCTGCTCCAGTCTCCTGGGAGCAACCCTTAGTTCTGACCTAAACCAGGCCCTGTAAGACTTGCCTAGGTCATTATAAAACAGATGGGACTTCCTACACCCAGCTCTATCTACACACACGGTTCCCATTTATACCACGGGTCCTAAAATACAAGTGTCTCAAAACTGTACCTAACTGTATACTTCCTGGTATCTATAATCATCACCATATGTAGTCCTAAAATATACTCTAAAGACTGTCTACTTTTCAGGAAAATAAGCAGTTTATATGGACTAGGTATGTAATAATGATGTCCATGTGCTATAAGCTCTTCCATTATACATGTTACTCAGTCATTCACTCAACAAGCATCTATTGAACTCCTATTCTGGGCCAAGTATTAAGCTAAGCAATGGGATAACGAGTTGGCTGAGCTACAATCCCTGCATTTAACTTAAACTAATTCAACTACATACACTCAGCCTAAAAATAAAAGAGCAAGAGAAACAGACAGATAGAGAAAGGAAGATGGACAAGTGATTCCACCTGCTTCCATTCAATTAGTACAATGGTTCTCCATGTGCGGTCCCCGGACCAGCAGTATCAGCATCACCTGGGAACTTGTTAGAAATGCAATCCCTCTGGCTGAATCCCAGACCTACTGAATCAGAAACTTTGGGGTAAAACCCAGTAAGCTGTTATTAACAAGCCCTACAGGTGATTCTGTAAAGTTGTGAAAACCACTACGTTAGAACAAGCATCAAAATAAGACACTAATTTGCTACTCCTTCTCTTGTTCTAGGTTTCAGAATACCTAATACTGTAAGCATCTCACTATGTTGAATGAGACTCTGGTGTCTAAAGATATGAATTACCACTGAACATACCCCAAACATAAGCTAACTGTATTATTTGACACTCAACGTGAGAAAGCACCACAGGAACACCTGTTGAAGCTCAGCAGGTTTCAACAAGGGAGAACTTAAAGAAAAGAAGCTCGTGGCTCTCGAGCAAGAGTCCTTCCCACGAGATTCTTGAAGATAATTTTGCTCTAATGACTTTCACCTCACCCACTGCCTACAGAACTGAGTCTTCATGTAAAATGAGATATTGCGGTGGCCTTTAAAAGCAGCCCACAAAGAAAAACACTAATAATCCAATCTAAAATTTTCAAATTTGAAAACACGGGTATTTGTATATGTCATGTTGAATATAACTGATAAAAAGTTCTTGCCAGTGAAACACTTCCATCTAGAATTACAAAGGCCACAAGAACTTCAGAACCAGAGAAAGCCAAATTCCCTTGTGTGGCCGTGCCCAAGGTACTCCTGCTCCTAGCAATCATCCTTGATTATTAAGATTGGGGAACAGAGAGAGGAACCCTGGCAAGAAAGTAGACTTGGGAGTTAAGAGACCTGAACTTGAATCTCTTCTGTGAAGCTTCAGGCAAATCACTTAACCTCTCTGAACCTTAGTATCTTCCTGTGTAAGATAAGGATAACAACATATAATTCAGAGGATTGCTGTGAGGATACGAAAAATGTACCTAAAATACCAGGCACAGTTCCTGATATATATATGCTTAAAAGATGTTAGTTCTCTTCTCTATCCCATTTGCACACCAATCTTAAGCATGGAGTACTTGGATGGAAGGCAGATTAAGTTCTTCACAGAATTACAGCACCTTAGAATGTTTCAAATCTCCTATTTTCTTAGTGCTTCACCTAAGTACTAAACAATTGGAAATATGTAGTGAAACATCCTTTGCGTAACATGAATTAACAGAATTTCCTTGGCTCCTTCCTATCATCAAGGATATCAACTTCTGGCTAGATTTCAAAACTGAATGGCCAGGCACACTAGGGGCAGTATGCCCTCTGCTGTTGAGAAGTGGCACCAACATGCCACTTCCTGTTTTGGGCTCCCAAATAAAGATTTTTGAATCAGAACATGAAAAGGTGACAAGGGCCTTAGAAATCATGCCATCTGTGTTGCTCAACTGAAGAAATTCGGCTCGAAGAGGTCAGATGACTTGGCCAGGGTCACAAGGCTGAGGCAAAGCTAGAACTTTATTTTTGCAGTTTGGCTTACTGAACCAATTAAATCATGGCACTGTAAAGGCAACACAGAATGACCTCAGAAACAAACCTCTCTAGTCATGCCCAGCAGTTCTTTCTAGCACGTAGTCCAAGAAATTTCTTTTTTAATTTTTTTTATGATCCAAGAAATTTTAAAACATGCTTCTCCACTTTACCATGTGGAGAAGAAATAGATCTGTGAGAATGGTAGGCAAGAAGAAAAGAGAATATCCTTTAAATGATGTTTATTGTACAAAGTAATTATTTGGACTTAAAACCACTCAAGAATAAAGTTTGCATCCAGAAAAAATCAGTAGCAACATTACATCTGTTAGTTTTGCTGGCAAGTTGGCGGCAGTGGGGGTGGGAGAGGTGGGGGTGGGAGGGAATAATGCAGAGCACCTATCACGTGTCTGCCACCGTGCTGCTGCTTTATGCAGATCCCTTCCCCCTCTCAGCAGTTACCCTCTGGGGGCACTTTCATCATCCAGTATTAAATTAAGAAGGCTGATGCTCAGAGAGACCAGATTTGCCAAGGTAAGGTAACTAATAATTAGGAATCAAATGTAATTCTTTTCATGTGCTTTTAATCCCTACTCAATCCCACCTCCAAGAAAACCCAGATCTTTCTGCTCCTTGCATTGTAACAGGCTCACGCAGATAAAGCTAACCATAAACTTCAACCCTCAGTAAGGGACACTCTGGGTATCTTTCTTCTAAATTTGCAAAATGAAGGACAAATATCCCAGCCATTTACTAACAGTGACATTGTAGAATATGTGGAATGTGGGTCTCTTCATTGACCTGACAATAATTATTACTACACTACCATTGCTAACTCCATTAGGACACTGATAAAACCCAAAATCACGTTGACTCCTTCTCCGCAGCCTTTGGTTTTAGAAAACTCAGTATGCAGTTGGATTTATTCAGGCACCCAGATATCTAATAATAGTTAACTGAAATTTTACTAAAGATACAAAAAGTTTACCCAGAGATATACATGACCAAAAATATTAATGCCTCCAATAAATCAAAGCATCTTAAAGGAGTTTTGCATGTGCTCTGATTTCCAACTCTAATGCAGAGATGCTAAAATAAAATAAGACCCTCTTTCTCCCATTTGATGTGTGTGTCCTATGTTAATTTGGGGATTGTGGCATTACATTCCATTAGAGTTCTTAAATGGAGACTGACAACTTTCTGGGCAAGCTTGACATCCCCTGAAAGGATGAACACCTTTCTGTTAGAAGAACACAGGTTCCCAAAGAAGGACTAAAATGTGGAAGAAAGGTGAAGTTTAGACAAGCCCTAGATCTACAGTTGGAGAAATATGGCTGTCTAGGAGTGGGATTCTACTAAGCTGTCCCTCTCACATGGGCACCCTAGAGCTAGGACAAGATCAGAGAGCAAAGCCACATCTTATGAGTCAGATCTCTGGCTCTTGGAATACTCCTGGTTTATTTCTTCTTTATTATGTCAAAGCCTTTCAAAAATCCTGCTTAAATATTCTACCTTTACTCATCTGTACAGTGAGGTTACCAGAAAGTATTGGAGACTAAATTTGACTTAAGGAATTAAAGGGGAAATAGTATCCCCCAGTGACAGTGTGGTGGTGGCAAAGGAAATGTTTACAAGTCCCTCCAGGAGGAAGGCGAGTCCAGAAAAGAACTGTCCTCTCTTCCCACAAAGATGCTCTTTTCATTGCCAACCTTAGAGGGTCAAGCGTCTATCTTAACAAAAAAGATGGAAGTCCTCTCAGAGATATCCTTCAAAGACAATCATTTTTGTATGTAATAAGACACTGCTCCTCTTTACACACCTTCTGTGTTAACCAGCAGAGAGAACGGCATTCCCTGACTCCTATGCTTTTTTTTTTGTCCTAACATGCCCCTAATATTAAAAATGAGACCTTAGAAATAAATTTAATTAAAAAGAATATGGTAAATGAGGAAGAGAAGAAAAAAAGTGATAATGGGAGAGTCCATCATAGGGAAAATTTGGTGCCCCAATCTCCTATACTCAGATAATTTGAAAGGCAAGAACACATTAGCTACCACAGTGTCCTTGTACATGGCATATACTTTATAGATAATTGTTAAACTGTGAAGCAGTTCAAATCTTCTAAGTAAGTGATTCATGTGTTTCTGAGTATGAGGTTCCCTTGTTAATTTAGTTAAAATTATCACAGATATGTTATACATTAGTAGCCAGTGCTTGAGAAAATATATAAGAAGCTATTATAAATTCAATAATGGTATATATAAATACCACAACAGCATCTATCTACATGTGGGAGAAAAAATGTGCTTAATAACCAAATGGGGAGGGAAAACACCCTCTCCAAAAATTCTGCAGTGCTTAATAAGCTTCCTTTCCTCTAACCAAGAACTCTGGGCCCCAGAGGAAAAATCACTAAGTTATCAAAATGTTGTAAAATCAAAACACTCTTTGCTTTACTGCTAAAACAAAGGTGAAACAATCCTGCCCTTGAGAACACCTAAAATGCTCCAGTAAATCAAGAAATAACATGTTTTGTCAAATAACAGTGTTAAGTGTTTCATTAGAGGGAGATTCTATCTGTTGGCCGAATTGTTCTGTGAAAGCACCACATAATCAATGCCTTCCCATGGCTTCAGGAAGCTTTGTACTAAGAGAATTATCTGGCCACAGCTCAAGCTCCCAAATTAGAGACAAAGTTTTGCTGTAATAAACTATGGCACATAAATTTTAGGAAATGTTACACCACTAGAGGGCGCTCTTACATAAGTAGTAATGTCGGAAAGCTCCGTTAAGTTTTTTTTGTTTTTTTAAGAGATGGGGGTATCCTTCTCTGGTCCAGGCAAAGTAGAGTGGCCCGATCATAGCTCACTGCAGCCTCGAACTCCTGGGCTCAGACGATCCTCTCTCCTAGGACTGAGAGTAGCTGGAACTAAATGCACACACCACCACACCTGGTTCGTTAAGTTTTAACTAAGCTGCATAAAATCTTAGGACAGAAAGGAAACTTAGATCTCAAGTCCAAACTCTTGTATAAAAAACAGACACAAAGATGCCAATTATTTTAAATCTTTCTTTTCAAAATAAATATATATTCACAAAATTGAAACAGAGCAATCATCCCCCTTCTTTTTAAAGTCATGGTTAAAAATTTTGTGCTGTCAGCCGGGCACAGTGGCTCATGCCTGTAATCCTAGCACTTTGAGAGGCCGAGGTGGGTGGATCACCTGAGGTCAGGAGTTCAAGACCAGCCTGGCCATCATGGTGAAACCCCATCTTAAATTTAAAAAAAAAAAAAAAAAAAAAAAAATTCTGTGCTGTCAGAAACCAGGATATTGGTTACCATTGCAGGGAAAAAGTGACTGTAAAAGAGAATGAGGGGGATAATGCATTGTTCTATATGCATAATAAGATAATTCAAAAACAGATTCGTAAACATTTAAAATCTCATTTTAGATATATATTTTATAAGGTTCATGTTTACATTTATATTTCACTATACTATGTCAGCTTCCAATTCTTCAGGACTGACTACTTAGCCCGCTTCATGGTGTAGATGAGTACCAGTAGCCTCCTCGTCATCAACATCTTGAGCCCCATGCATTTTCGTTGGTCGTGCTCTGGCTCAGATGCCCAGCACAGGAAGGTGCACACGTCCTTGGCTACCTGGGACATGGCAGCTGGGGTACCATCATCAAACTCCAGGACATCTGTGTAGATGGGAGGGGCCATGCCAATGGCCTGGCCAGGAAAACAGGGGTTGAAGTAGAGACCTCTTGGCAGTGACACCCTGGTGGGTGGCTCGAAGTGTAGCCCGTGAGCAGGAAGAAGATGTAGTCCTCACCACCATCCCCTAGCTCGCACAGTGTAGCTGAGGTCAGGGCCAATGCTCCATTACTGGCAGCTCGAGCAGCCTCAGGGTTGGGGTATGGTTTTGGGAAATAGTCATACAGCTTTCCTAGCCGCATGAACATCTCCCCATTTTCACTGGGGCCATCTTGAACCTCCACCTCCTCAGCCAGCACCTTAGCTTTAGCCTCAGTGTAGTATACGCCCACCAGGTGGCAGTAAGCCACTTAGTCCATGCTGTGGCAGGAGGAGCACACCTGCTTACATACCCGAAAACCCCTACGGATGCTGGTGTGGTCCAAGGAAGAAAGGAGGACACGGTGAGACCACGGATAACTGGGGGCATGCAGCTCCAGGTCACTGGCACTCACAGCAGAATGGAGCCACGGTCAGCCCCACACTCCCTGCCACCAGCATGCCCAGTGCTGACAGCATCACCTTCCGGCCTCGACCACAAGTACACTGCCTGAGGTGTCCGCAGCAGGAGCTACCTGGGCGCGCTCTGTGCAGCAGACCCTGGGCAAGCTCACCCGGGAGCCCCGCTTGCGGGCCCAGCACATATTTCATATGTAAATTATATTGCAGTAAGTCACATTAATATTAAATTTTTCTTTCATTTAAAAGTATTTATTGAGTACTCACTAAAAGACAAGTATTAAGAAAAAACTAAGATACAATTCCATTTCTCAAGTTCTGAATCTAACAGGAGTGATGAATGTCCTAGTAAACAACCAGTGGTGTGGTTAAGCACTGTTTGCAAAGCACTGTGGGAGCTACAAGCCAAAGCCATGATCCTGCCTGAGGAAATTATACAGGGCTGCACCGAGGAAGTAATGTCTGAGCTGAACTTCGACACAGAGAAGAATTTTTTTTTTCAGGTACAGAAGTTGATTTGATCAAAGTGTAAAATATGTTTTTCCAACAACAGAGTTCTAAGAAGGAAGAAACAGGGGAGAGGTATAATGCCCTAGGACAAAAAGTAATTGGAGAGAATAGTTGAGACAATAGGTAAGTGAGGGATATGTGATGCAGCAAGATCCTGGGGAGGGAGGGAGGAAATGGGGTCAATAGCACCAACAGAAGGATCTGACTTGAGGAGGACAAGGAACCCCTTCTCCACTGGGAAACAGATGGCTGCAGGAGTTATGTCTAACTAGCCAGGGAGGAAAACTAATTAGAAAGGGTTCTAGTCAAAATGTCTCTCATAAAACACCTTAGTTTCTAGTCAATGAAGTAGAGGGACAAGGTGATCTATTAAAAGGGATAGTAAAAGAGAGTCCAGGATGGCAATGATTTAAAGACAAAGGTAAAAGTGTAGCATGGAAGGAAAACCTGATGCCTAGGCCTCCATAAAGTTGCTGAGGCTGGAGACTGAATTTGTAGGCACAACCACCTGCCTACATATGAGCTTGCTTAGCAGGGATTCACAACCCAGGATCAGGAGCAGAGAAGTTTCTAAGATAAGAATTCCATAAAGGGGTTGTGACAGAGGACAGGGGGCAAGAGAAGTAAGGTCATTCCTATCTCCATGCAGCCCTGAATATATCCAGAGCTATGAGGTCCTGTCCACCACAGACAAATGCTGCCATAATCTGTTTGCTCATTTGCAAGGCAATCTCAACCATGTTGTATTTATTCTATTTTAAAGAGTAAATAATCTTGCCAGAACTCATATATATGATATATAAACATTTCAATGATAATCTTATAAAAATAAGGTTACATATCATCAAAGCCTTACAAATTTATATTCTTCTGTTTTGTGAAACATAAGATGATGTATTACTATTGTTTTCCTTCCTTTATAATCTATTGTTCCGAATGTTTCTTTTTTTTTTTTTTTTTTTTTGGAGATAGACTCTTGCTCTGTCACCCAGGTGGAGTGCAGTGGCCCCCTTGGCTTGTGCAACCTTCGCCTCTCGGGTTCAACTGATTCTCATGCCTCAGCCTCCCAAGTAGTGGGACTATGGGCACACCCCACCATGCCCAGCTAATTTTTATAGTATTAATAGAGATGGGGTTTTGCCATGTTTCCCAGACTGCTCGCAAACTCCTGACCTCAAGTGATCCACCTGCCTCAGCCTCCCAAAGTGCTAGGATTATAGACAAGAGTCACCGCACCTGGACTATTTTGAATGTTTCTATACATGCAAAATGTTCTCAAGATACCACTGTTATAACTACATCACATCTTCTGAGAGACTGAAGCTGGTATCTGGTGGTATAATATAAAAGGACAAAGACTCCTCAAACCCCAAAAAAGGCAAAACCAT